GAGAAGGTGGACTGCATGAGCTTCCCCTCAGATCCCATCCAGAGCATGAAAGACTTGCTGAGCAAATTGCCAGGGAGCAACTACAACACTCTGCGTCATCTCATCGCACACCTGTACAGGTGAGGAGAGTGCTGGTGCTGAGGAGGGTAAAAAAAATACATTTATCATGGAGTCATTACGGTTGGAAAAGAGCTCTAAGGTCGTCATACCCAATGACTGACCCATCACCCACTCACTCACAAAGTCATTAAGGTTGGAAAAGAGCTCTAAGGTTGTCATATCCTCTCATTGACCCATCACCCACTCACTCATGGAATCATTACGGTTGGAAAAGAGCTTCAGGTTCATCATATCCAACCATTGACCTATCGCCCACTCAATCATGGAGTCATTAAGGTTGGAAAAGATTTTTTAGAACGTCAAGTCCAACCATTCAACTCATTTTGGGGTGGGATTTTGGGTCTGGATTTGGGCAGCTGGATTTGGGGATTGAACTTGGGAATTTGGGATTGGATCTTGGGGTGGGATTTTGGGATCATGGAATCATTAAGGGTAGAAAAGACCTTCAAAATCATCAAATCCAACCATCAGCTCATCACAACTGTGTCCTCTAAACCACGTCCCTCGAAGGACATGGAAAGGGCAGTCATGCAGCAATTAGGAGAAAGCCTTAATGACCAGGAACTAGAAGCTCCTTGCTGTTAACTCTTCATAAACCACAGATTAAGAGGTTAAATGATAAAATAAATCGTGTCCCTTTCGCCCAGCTCAGAACACTTTAGAGCTGCACCATCCAGACAGATTTTAATGCTTGTGCCTGGAATTCCCACGCACAAATCAGAGCTCTGTTCCCTGTAGAAAATGGGATTTCTCTCTTTGCTGTGAAATGGGGGGAGGTTCGGTCAATTCTATCTTTATCCTCAATGTCTTCAGACCTGTTTCCCTTCCCCAGGGTGGCAGAGAGATATGAAGAGAACAAGATGTCCCCAAACAACCTGGGCATCGTGTTTGGCCCCACTCTGATCCGGCCGGGCTCGGGGAGCGACGTCTCCATGTCCTGCCTTGTTGACTCCGGGTACCAAGCCCAAATCGTGGAGTTTCTCATCCAAAACTACGAAAGGGTGTTTGGGATGGAGGACCTGCCCTCATCCTTATCCCTCGGGTGTGAAAACCCTTTGCAAGAAGCGCCGACAGAGAAGGATGAAGGACACCAGAGCCAAAACACAGCCCAGAATGTAACTCTAGAGGTAGAGCTTGCAGACACTGAGCTGGGCTTACTGACCCTGCTGTAGAGGTGGACCAGCAGAGAAAGAACTTTTTGCACAAAAAAAAACAAAAACAAAAAAAAACAAAAAAAACCCAAACACCTCCCCAAACCCAAAAAAACCCGCATTTGTTATCAGAGGGTTGCTCCAAGAGGAAGGAGCTGCACATGGAGTGGGAGAGTGGGAATGAATTATAAGCAATGCATCACCCATCAGCTCACTCAGACCACTCTGGGCGGTGCTTTTGTTCCACGTTTTTGACCCCATTTCTGAAAAATTGGGGGGTTCTCCATGCTGAATTATTCTGGACACTGCTGTAGACAGCTCCACCATTTGGAAGCATCCATGGGCACACCAAACCCAACGGATTCCCTGGTAGAACCCTACAGGGGGCCCTCTGCATTCCTCACCCCCAAACTCTGTAGGGTTCCCTGGTAGAACCCTATGGGACCCTCTGCATTCCTGACCAGTGGCCTTGGATCCTTTTTTTTTCTTTCCTCCCGAGATCCACAGCCATTTTACCACCGTGGTTTGCACATCTTCCAGCACTTGGAGAAAAAAAACAACCCAACAAGTCAGCATCCGAGCCAGACGCGGCCGTTCCCTCCTTTTCACCGCTGGTTCGGTGGGAGAAAGAGGGGAAATTGTGTTCCTAAAGTGAAGCTGAAGGTTTTGGATTCTGGTTCAGGGCTCTCTGCCTCCTGCTTTGAGTTGCGGATCTTACGTGCAAGGGGGTCCCAAAATCACAGCCGTTGCCTTGGACTATTTCCGTGGCCGTTTTGCAAAGCCGAATGGCACAAACCTTCAGGAAGGGGAGCTGCTTCTAAGGGCGCTCTCATTTTGTAATTAATAAAACCCTGATTTCTAGAGCCCTTGTCTGGGTGTCCCAATCTTTGTGCAAACTCACACTGGTTCCTGGCAGCTCCCAAGCATCCCCGTGTCCTTCTCCATCCCATGGGCACTTAATCCTAATGACAGCGCTGTAATTAACCGCTCGGTTCCTGACATCCCCCCTCCTCACTCTGAAGTGGGTCGTGTCAGCGCTGCACAATCTCAGCCCTACGTGAAGCAGTGACCACTTTGGGGCACAATTTGTGACCGTCCCCACAGCCCCGTGACTTTCTGCCCACTCCCTATTCCCTCTTATCAGCAACCCAAAAGGGATCAGAGCGTTTTCAGCTCAGTCGCCTCCACTCAGCTCAATCCATCTGCCGTTCACACGGCCACAACGACACCGGGGGTGAAGTGGGAAGCAGAGTGTATCTTCATGACAAATGAGTGTCCTTCATGGCTTTGTCCCGACAGAATCCCTCCTCCAAGCACAGCTGCAGTGTGGACGATGCATCCGATATCTCATCTTCCGGAGAGGCCATCGATGGGTTCGTGTTGGAGAGCGCCCAGAGCTCCGAGGCTGGAGGTGAAGCGGTGCTCACGATGCTGGTGTGGGTGGAGAGCTATAAAATATGGGTCTGAATCCCACGTTTGGAAGGTGCAGAAGGGAAGTTTTAGGCTGGTTATACTTCCTAGCAGCAAGAGAAAACATTGGTGCTTTTGTTCCATGTTTTTGACCCCATTTCTGAAAAACTGGGGGGGTTCTCTGTGCTGAATTATTCTGGACAACTCTGTAGACAGCTTCACCATTTGGAAGCATCCATGGGCACACCAAACCCAATGGATTTATTATAATAATGATGTTATTTGCTGCGGCGAACGTATCTCAAAGCTTTGATTTTCTTTTTCTTCAGAGGTGAACGTTGGCTCTGAGCTGGAGGACCTGGAGGAGAAGGCGGGCAGTGATTCAGAGCCGGTCTTTGGGACGCAGCCACGGGGCCATTTCAGCCGTCAGCCCGTGAAATACGCCCGAGCGCAGCCGAAAGCACGACCACACATCCCCAAACCTTCCAGCTTGCCCTTGAGAGCTACCACATCACCCAGCATGGCAACAGACTCTGGGGCAGAAGGCAGCCCCACTGACAGCACCTGTATAGGGAAGGAGACTGTGGAAGAGAGGACGAGGAGCAGGAACAGCTCTCCGGATATGAGCGCCCTCAGGCATCGAGGGAAACAGCTCAAACATTTCCAGATCACCGAGGAAACAGCCAGGATCATCTCCAAGTTTAAAGCTGATGAGGTTTCGGCATCCTCAGAGCTCTCTTCGGGTGAGAAAGCGGTGAAATTCGGCCCGGAGATAATCCCAGAGAAAATCCTGTAAGGTTAACAGCTGGAAGTAGAGGAGAGGACTGCAGTCCCACTGAGATGCTGCTGCGGAAAGGGATAAGTAAAGAGATGTGGGGTGAGAACAGCATCCCACATCTGTTCGTGCAGCGCAGGGCGGAGGTAAAGCATTTCCTTGGGTTGAGCTGGCAGACTTCGAGTGAGCCCAGGGTTTCCTCTTTGGTTGAAAAATCCAACTCAAACCCAACGCAACGTCCCCAAGAAGCACAACAGGGGCGAAGGAAACACGGATGGTCCGGGTAGAATCATGGGATCACGAAGCTTGGGAAAGACCACTGAGGTCATCCAGGCTGACCATTTTGCTCCAGATGTTGCTGGAGTTTCCACTGCTTCATCAGCATGAAGCCACGTGTAGATACATTGCCAGACAAAGTGTAAGAGCTGCCACACAGCTCCCATTTCCCCCAACTATTCAACTCTATTGCCCTTAAATCTTCAACCTCCGCACTACTTAAGATGCTGGCGTTGTCACGAAGGAGAGGAACCCATGGTGGATGAGAGGGTTCTCTTCACCCTACAACACCCTACAAGAGGGGCATACCGACTTGCTGGGTCTCCATCCCACCTGCACGGGGATCACCCCAATTTCTGCCTCCCTGAAGCAGGTTTCTGCACAGAAATAGGAACTCGGTCCTACAGTGCCATCTCGTGACACACACATGCACGTAGGAGAGTCTTCCTACGCCGTTCCTGGGGATAACTGTGCACTGTGGGATGGTGTTACTGTCAAAGGCAGAGGAAACCTGCTTGAAATTTGGGCAGCAAAATGCTGCACGAGGGCTGTTGGCAGTGATTGTTGGCTGCAAGACATGGGGAGAGGAGAGGAGTGGAGGTGCCAACCCAAAGGGAAACCTTCCACGTTACCAACCCAAAGGGAAACATTTTGCTCTCCCAACCCAAAGGGAAACCTTCCACATTGCCCAACCAAAGGGAAACCTTTCGGTCTTCCAACCCAAAAAGAGAAACCTTCCACTCTCCCAACCCAAGAAGGAACAACCTTTTGCTCTCCGAATCCAAAGGGAAACCTTCCACGTTGCCAACCCAAAGGGAAATCTTCCATGTTGACGACCCAAAGAGAAACCTTTGGCTCTCCCAACCTTTGGCTCTCCCAACCCAAAGAGAAACCTTTGGCTCTCCCAACCCAAGAGGGAAAACTTTCTGCTCTCTCAACCAGCCGAAGAGGTTCAACAACCCAACTCCTCTCTCACCTCATCAGCAGACACCATTTCAGTCCTTTTTCTTAACAAAGCTGTAAAGAGAAACGCTGATGATCTCTTGGTCCTATTTGTACAGTTCGGGTTATCAGAGTTTGCATCTCTGGAGCGATGTACATTTGTGAATATATTGCTTTGAATACTAAGTTATCATCGACTGTAGAGCTTCTATAATAAATTACTGGGTGTTTTATTACAACTTTCCCCTGTATTTGTTCCATGAGCTTAAGCAAACACTCAGGGCACTATTATTAGAAGCACTGGGTGCTCTCAGCTCCCCACAAAACAAAGGCGTTGCTTTCCCATGCGAGGAACCAGTCGAACCCGAATGGTTCTCCTCCTAAATCTCCAATTTCCTTTTGCTGGTGGAGATGAAGCAGAGGTTCGTCCTCCGTAGGAGAAGCTGGGTGGCGTAGAGCACTTTGCTTTCCCTTCCAACGCATACAGAAGTGCTATTAGAGAAAACATGCTTTCCTTCCCCCTGCAACTCCTTGTTGCTTGCTGTTTGCCAGCAATTGGTCATGGGTTGAGCCGCCAAAGCAGAGCTACGCAGCTGCCAGGACCCGTTGTTGTGCGGGGAGAATTTGGATGGGGATTTGCTGTCCTCCAGCCGCAGTGGACGTGGTTTGGGTTGGCAGGAGAAAAGCTGAATTTCCAAGCAGCTTGGCAGGGAGGGGAGCCATCATTTCCTCTTCTTCTCCCACCCCCTCTAGGCTGGAGCTGAGCTTCAAAGGAACGACCTCAGCCCCACTGATGTGTGGGGAGCAACAAGGACCAGCCCAGGGTCCGTGCTGAGGACCACCGTAAGCATCCGATGGCCACGTCCCTAATTTCTACCACAAAGCAGGAAAACAAAACACGCTGTTGGCTACTAACGCTGCTTTCATAGCAGCACCCCACGGAGCTCCAGCCCTGCAGCTCAGATCTACACAGCAGCATTCCTCAGACAGCCAATAACGGGGAACCGCGGAAATGTTCTCAAGATTCATTCTTTCTTTTCTTTCTTTCTTTCTTTCTTTCTTTCTTTCTTTCTTTCTTTCTTTCTTTCTTTCTTTCTTTCTCTCTTTCTCTCTTTCTCTCTTTCTCTCTTTCTCTCTTTCTCTCTTTCTTTCTCTCTTTCTTTCTCCCTTTCTCCCTTTCTCCCTTTCTCCCTTTCTCTCCTTCCTTCCTTCCTTCCTTCCTTCCTTCCTTCCTTCCTTCCTTCCTTCCTTCCTTCCTTCCTTCCCTCCTTCCTTCCTTCCTTCCTTCCTTCCTTCTTCCTCTTTCTCTTTCTCCCTCTCTTTCTCTCTTTCTCTCTTTCTCTCTTTCTCTCTTTCTCTCTTTCTTTCTCTTTCTTTTCCTTCCTTCCTTCCTTCCTTCCTTCCTTCCTTCCTTCCTTCCTTCCTTCCTTCCTTCCTTCCTTCCAATCAGCAAAACCAACTTCTTGTTTCAGGCTTTTGCTTTTCCCCAGTGAGCCAATGTGAATTCAGAGCTCGCTGTAACCATCCCATCCCCAACCCCGTGTCAACCTCATCCCCATCTCAAGCCCACCCTCATCCTCATCCCAAGCCCATCCCACCCTCATCCCCGTCCCGCTCTGATCCCCAATTCAAGCCCATCCCACCTCTGTCACCATCCCCACACCTTTCCCACCTCCATTCCCATCCCAAGCCCATCTCATCCCCATCCCTGTCCCCATCCCCATTCCACCCCCATCTCCATCCCTATCCCCACCCCCATCCCCATACCAAATCCATTGCTGTCCCCACTCCCATCACACCCCCACCCTCATCCCCACATCCCCATCCCCACTGGGAAGAATAACTGGAGAATTAATGGGAATCCCTGCACCAGTTGGGAATTGGAAGAATAAATGAAAATTTCTACACCAGATGGGACTTGGGTAGAATGAGTGGGAGGAATTGGCTCTGGGAATCTCTGCACCAGTTGAGAAATGGGGAGTTACTGGGAATCTCAGGGCCAGCTGGGAATTGGAAGAATGAATGGGATGAATTGGGCCAAGCTGAGGATTTGGGAATCCCTGCACCAGGTTGGAAAGTGGGGAGAATTAATGGGAACCTCAGGGCCAGCTGAGGCTTGGAAGAATGAATGGGAGGAATTGGCTCTGCTGCCATGGGGAGGGGTGTAAAGGGGGGGGAGGAGGAGGGGGTGATGCTCTTTGCAGAGTTCTTTAACATTCCCGGGATTCCAGGAGAGGGTCGCAGCAAAGAGGAGAGGGGAGATGAAGGAAAAACCTTCTGACCATCAGCAGCAGCAGTCCCAGCCGCGAGGCTTAAAGAGAACCTTTGGCTCTGTTTGAAAACACGAAAATCCACGAAAGCCATTAACGCTGCCTTGAGAAAACAGAGGTGCAATGAAGGGGAGGGAGAGGTCTGTTGACTTTGGAAGCATTTCCCTGTGAGTTCTCTCTGCTGGGCACCAGGATGTGCTCGGATGGGGTTTCTGGGATGGAGGAGGGGGTGGAGAGGGGTGGATGCTACAAAATATGGCTGCAAAACGATCAGAGAAGGGTAAAAAATAAACTGAAATAGAAGGAAAACTCCCAGCAGTGGGGAGGGAAATGCACCTCCAGCATTGCTGCAGATGGACTCAGGCACCCGAGCTCCACCCCACAGCGATCGTTCAGCTGCAAAAGGAGACTGAATGGCGTCAGGTTTTGGGGGTTATTATTATAGTTTTCGGTGTTGTTTTCAGGAGGAGTGAATTTTTGGGGGAGGAGTTCCGCGTCCTTGAAGGGTGAGGTCACTCGGGGTCATGCGTGCGTTTGGTTTTTCTCCAACCCGACACAACCTCAGCTCTGCTCCCTTCAGTCTGAAAATGGATGCTCTCTTTTTTCCTGCTTTTTTTTCCCCCCCCTCTCTTTGCAAAACATGAAGGAAAATCTGCTGTTGTTAAGCCCAGAAATGTTCTCTCCCCTCTGTCTGAAAGCACAAAACCACCCAAGGACGGGTTTGCACAAGCCCTGATCTGATCCAACCTGTTCTCTCATCCCTCTTTGCCCTGAATTTGGGCTCTGTGTGTTCATTGGGGCCCAGAACTGCAAAAAAATGCAACACTGCCTCTTTGCTGCAAAGCTGCAAAGCTGTCTGAGCGCTGAGACATTGGGGCAGGGGGTTGGAGTTTGGGTTTGGAATCGGTTCTGCTGGGTTCTGCACTCCTGATTGCTCTGGGTGTTGGCTGATGGGAACTGGTTCTGCTGGGTTCTTCGTTGGTGTTCTGGGTTTGGAACTGGTTCTGCTGGGCTCTACTCTCCTAATCACTCAGGTGTTGGTGGATGGAACATCAATGATGCTCTGGGTTTGGAACTGGTCCTGCTGGGTTCTGCTCTCCTGATCACCCAGGTGTTGGTGGATGGGAACCGGTTCTGCTGGGTTCTTCGTTGGTGCTCTGGATTTGGAACTGGTTCCGTTGGGTTCTGTTCTCCCGATTGCTCTGGGTGTTGGCTGATGGGAACTGGTTCTGCTGGGTTCTTCGTTGGTGCTCTGGATTTGGAATCAGTTCTGCTGGGTTCTGCTGTCCCAATTGCTCTGGGTGTTGGCTGATGGGAACCAGTTCTGCTGGGTTCTTCATTGGTGCTCTGGATTTGGAATCAGTTCCATTGGGTTCTGCTCTCCCAATTGCTCTGGGTGTTGGCTGATGGGAACTGGTTCTGTCGGGTTCTTCATTGATGTTCTGGGTTTGGAATTGGTTCTGCTGGGTTCTTCGTTGGTGTTCTGGGTTTGGAACTGGTTCCATTGGGTTCTGCTCTCCTGATTGCTCTGGGTGTTGGTGGATGGGAACCGGTTCAGCTGGGTTCTTCATTGGTGTTCTGGATTTGGAACCAGTTCTGCTGGGTTCTTTGTTGGTGTTCTGGGTTTGGAATTGGTTCTGCTGGGTTCTTCATTGGTGTTCTGGGTTTGGAACTGGTTCTGCTGGGTTCTGCTCTCATTGCTCTGGGTGTTGGCTGATGGAACCGGTTCTGCAGTGCTCTCCATTGAAATTCTGTGGGCTTCTGCTGAGCTGTGCGTTGCCATTCTGACAGCCCATCACTGCTGTCTGTGTGCTGGGGTCATCAAACCCACTGCTCTCAGCACGGGGAGCGCGGAACACCGAAGGGGAGGAGCGGGCAAATGGGGGTCCTAAAAGGATCCTGGGGACGAACAGATCAGAAACGCATTGTGGGGAGGGAAGGATCAGCCCCTGTCACTCTGACAGCTCAGATTTCTCCTCGTCGTGACAGCACTGGAAGTCTGCAACCAAAAGCTTCGCCTCCATCGAGTATTTCTGGCTCTGTGTTACGTTCCCACTTCTCAGCACTCCTTGGAGGTTCTCTGCCACAAGGAGGTGACTCCATTAAACTTTAACTTTCCCAGGAGAGAACTCTGCTCCTGTGACGTTTTGCTGCTCAGAGGAACCACGCGGAGGGCGGTGGAACCTCTCTGCAGGTCACACTTTTGCTCGGGAGGTTGTGGATTTACAGTCAGCTGGTGGTGCTCGGCTCTTCCCAGTTCATTTTAATTCATTTTTTTGGCAGCCCGCGTGAACTTCGTGGCATCATTTCAGCCCATGGAGGCTGCAGAACGAAGGGAGACCATAAGGAGGTTGGTGTGATGCTCAGCTTCTGTAGGACTCCATGCTTGCCCCTCTGATATTCCAACCTCTCCTCATCCATCACTGCTCCTCCTGACCCATTCCCACCTCTGCTGGTTCTGCTGGTGATTCCTCAGCCCTTTGGTCCCACTTCTTTCCATTCAACCTCCGTGATGAAGGCTGAGGAAGACCACAGGTGAGCTTAGGTGAGCAGCCAAGCACAGGTGGGTCCAGTGGCCCCCAGTTTGTGCTTTATATTGGTGAAACCACCCCACCAGCCCGATGCCAACGGATCGGAACCGACTCCTTCCAGCCCACACCGGAGACATTCAGAACCAGACTCCACCAAGGAGGAGAGGACTCGGATTGGGGTGGATCCGGGATCCCGAAGGATCCGCCCAAGGGGAGGATCCAAGGAGGGAAGGGCTCATCTCAGCTCTGGCAAATTCGCCTTCGGGAGCTGTCGGCCCTAACGCCTCTCTGAAACTTTTCCACTCAGCTCTTTGGGTTTGGAAAGGCCCTTTGCCCCCCCCTACCTCCCTCCCAAGATGGGGATCTCCATACGGAACAGCTCTCCCTCTTCCCTGCGGTGGGGACAGCGATGCTAGAAGTTGGGTCTGGATGCAGTGGGTGTGTTTGCAGGTAAGAATGGCTTTATTTTTCATAGAGGGCAAAAACTTTGTCCTGTTTTTCTTTTTTTTTTCCTGCCCCAAACGAACCACAAACAACAACAACAACAAAAAAGGAGCGGTGCTTTCAACCTTTGGCCCCATCAATTTGCGCGGCGTAAAACAAATGGGGACGGCGGCGAGCTGGCTTGGGACAATGGGTCTATAAAAGGCAGTTTTAATTAGCACTGATTGTGGATCTGAGCAGTCCATCCCCGCTCCGTCCTCCCACACCTCCGGGGGTTGAGCAGCGCTTCTCACATTGGTGGGAGGAAGGCAGGGATGGGAGGAAGGCCCCCCTTGTGCTGTGATTTCCAGCACAGAACCTCTTGAGCTCAGTGTGAGTGGAGGGCAGCGGTCCTATGAGCGAGGAGGGGGGGGAGTTGAGAGCTGAGAGGAGGGGGAAATGCATTTTTAAGGCCTCTCCGTGTGCCCCCACTGCGGTGTTTTCTCATTGTGAAAGGGAGCAGAGTTGGAGGAGTGCATTCACTTCTGCTTTTAACCATTCAACGCTGCTGTGGGTTGAGGGGGGAGGGGGGGGGAAAGTCCCATAAGATCCCATTGCAGAGCGTGGAGGGTCGTGGGGAGGGGTCTGGGGGCTCCTCCAGATCCGCTGTGCATCACAGCAACAGATTTTTTGCTCACGTTCTTCCTTTCCCCCCCATCGTGTTTTGCTTCGTGGCGTTGTCTGCTGCCACCGAGCGCCAAGGTCGCCTGGCTAATTAACTGCAGGGCGGTAATCAAGAGGCACAGCAGCTGCTGCTGTTTACTGGGGACGTACCCCCCATCCCCCCCTCCCACCCCCCAGCTCGGTGTCACACCGATTCAATTCGGTGTTGGCTCAGAAGTTTGGGAGGAGGAGTTGGACTCAGTGATCCCAGCGGGTTCCTTTCAGTGTGGGATATCCTATGAGGATCTCCCTTGGAAATTTGAAGGTTTCTTGAATGAAAGCATGGGGTGAGCAGTTGTGCCATAACGATGCCCACTGTCTCAGATGAATCCCTGTGGTTGGGGGAGGGAGGGCTTTAAATGGCAAAAAATGTCAGTGGGGTTGGGTGGCAAAAAGAGTGAATGGAGTTGGATGGCAAAAAAAGTGAATGGGGTTGGATGGCAAAAAAAATGTCAGTGGGGTTGGATGGCAAAAAGAGTGAATGGGGTTGGATGGCATAAAAAAGGTCAGTGGGGTTGGATGGCAAAAAGAGTGAATGGGGTTCAGTGGCAAAAAAAGTGAATGGGGTTGGATGGCAAAAAAAATGTGAGTAGGGTTCAGTGGTAAAAAAATGTGAATG